AAATACACAAAATATAACAATTTTGAAAAACTTACTTGAAGTGACAAATTCGATGGTTTTACGATCGTACATGTTAAAATACACAAAATATAACAGTTTTGAGAAACTTACTTTAAGTCACAATTTCAATGATTTTACGATCGAAATGTTAAAATACACAAAATATAACAGTTTTGAGAAACTTACTTGAAGTCACAAATTCGATGATTTTACGATCGAACATGTTAAAATACACAAAATATAACAGTTTTGAAAAACTAACTTGAGGTCACAAATTCGATGATTTTACGATCGAACATGTTTAAATACACAAAACATAACAGTTTTGAGAAACTTACTTGAAGTCACAAATTCGATGATTTTACGATCGAACATGTTAAAATACACAAAATATAACAGTTTTGAAAAACTTACTTGAAGTCACAAATTCGATGATCTTACGATCGTAGCATGTAAAATACACAAAATATAACAATTTTGAAAAACTTACTTGAAGTGACAAATTCGATGGTTTTACGATCGTACATGTTAAAATACACAAAATATAACAGTTTTGAGAAACTTACTTTAAGTCACAATTTCAATGATTTTACGATCGAAATGTTAAAATACACAAAATATAACAGTTTTGAGAAACTTACTTGAAGTCACAAATTCGATGATTTTACGATCGAACATGTTAAAATACACAAAATATAACAGTTTTGAAAAACTAACTTGAGGTCACAAATTCGATGATTTTACGATCGAACATGTTTAAATACACAAAACATAACAGTTTTGAGAAACTTACTTGAAGTCACAAATTCGATGATTTTACGATCGAACATGTTAAAATACACAAAATATAACAGTTTTGAAAAACTTACTTGAAGTCACAAATTTCGATGATTTTACGATCAAACATGTTAAAAAATACAAAATATAACAGTTTTGAAAAACTTACTTGAAGTCACAAATTCGATGATTTTACGATCGAACATGTTAAAATACACAAAATATAACAGTTTTGAAAAACTTACTTGAAGTCACAAATTCGATGGTTTTATGATCGTTCATGTTAAAATATACAATATATAACAGTTTTGAAAAACTTACTTAAAGTCACAAATTCGATGATTTTACGATCGAACATGTTAAAATACACAAAATATAACAGTTTTGAGAAACTTACTTGAAGTCACAAATTCGATGGTTTTACGATCGTACATGTTAAAATATACAAAATATAACAGTTTTGAGAAACTTACTTGAAGTCACAAATTCTATGATTTTACGATCGAACATGTTAAAATACACAAAATATAACAGTTTTGAGAAACTTACTTGAAGTCACAAATTCGAAGATTTTACGATCGAACATTTTAAAATACACAAAATATAACAGTTTTGAAAAACTTACTTGAAGTCACAAATTCGATGATTTTACGATCGAACATGTTAAAATACACAAAATATAACAGTTTTGAGAAACTTACTTGAAGTGACAAATTCGATGGTTTTACGATTGTTCATGTTAAAATATACAAAATATAACAGTTTTGAAAAACTTACTTGAAGTCACAAATTCGATGATTTTACGAATCGAACATGTTAAAATATACAAAATATAACAGTTTTGAAAAACTTACTTGACGTCACAAATTCGATGATTTTACGATCGAACATGTTAAAATGCACAAAATATAACAGTTTTGAGAAACTTACTTGAAGTCACAAATTCGATGATTTACGATCGAACATGTTAAAATACACAAAATATAACAGTTTTGAAAAACTTACTTGAAGTCACAAATTCGATGATTTTACGATCAAACATGTTAAAAAATACAAAATATAACAGTTTGGAGAAACTTACTTGAAGTCACAAATTCGATGATTTTACGATCGAACATGTTAAAATACACAAAATATAACAGTTTTGAGAAACTTACTTGAAGTCACAAATGCGATGATTTTACGATCGAACATGTTAAAATACACAAAATAACATTTGAGGAAATTAACTTGAAGTCACAAATTCGATGATTTTACGATCGAACATGTTAAAATACACAAAATATAA